AACCCCTTAATCTTTTCTTCCAGTAACGCTATTAGGCGGCACTTCATGCAAACATACCTCTGTTCAGGCTCACCTGCTAGAACTATATACATACCACAGCTTCCACATGCAGTCATCTGCATTCTGTTTGCTGCTGCTTGGCTCATGGCTGCCACAGTCTCTGCCCACTGCTCCTGGGGACTCAGAGCACACAACAGACCGCGCCCTTCTGCCTCCCCTTCCAAACTCCCACTCAAACTCCCCTGTTAGCAGCCCTGTTTGCTGCCTCCTGTGCCGCTGCTCGCTGACAGAAAGTATTTACAATTTTATTCACTTTATTTCTCATTTTGAAAGGGACTTTTACCATTTTGTAATGGGTATTGATAGAAGAAATTAGAAAAATTCCCTAAATACAAGTAAAATATTGATAAATATTGTACAAAACAAATGAACCAATGGACACACCATACTGCCAATGCTTACCAGGTCCAGCTGTGTTCTGCAGTTCCTCTCTGCATTACGGCCCTCATTTAAATTTAAGAGAACGTTTTCCATTGACTCCAAAGGCTTTCAACCAGGCGTTTGATGTTTGCTAGGTGTAAATATACATATTGAAACTCCTTAACACAAGGAATTATTAATTGTATTTCCCTGAAATGGTACAGGAATTTTTATTGTGCTATACAAATAATAATCATTATTATTAACAGATTGCAGCACGAACTTAATTAATGGGTCATTCTTCAAAACAAGATTTCAACAGATCCACATTTCACAATCCCCGGCAGCCCATAAATAGAGACTCTCCGTCTCCTGTGTATCTTGGAGTCTCTTCTCTCTATCAACGTTGAGTTCCCAGCCCAACTTCAGCCATGAAGATTCTCTACCTGCTCTTTGCTGTCTTTTTCCTGGTGCTGCAAAGCTCTCCAGGTAAGATCTTAATGAAATGAAGGGAGAATATAGAAGGACATTTGTGAGTCAGTAGTAAGATTTCTAAAAATGTTGTATCATCATTTTTCCAGCATTTTTTTTTCAAAAGAATTGTATAGTTTTCAGCAGATATTTGACATTTAAGTGGAGAATGGTCCTGCGGTGAGAAAGGTGCCTTTAATGTTCCAATTAGGATCCAGTCAGATTTGGCTTAACTATGATCTGAAATAATATCACCAATGTTCTACCTAGTGGAGTCCTACAGGGATTGGTTCTTGCCACCACACTAGTTAAACTTTTTATAAAGGACATAAAACATAAAATCATCACCTATAAAGTTGGCAGGTGAGAAAAATTAAGGGACAGGTCACTCTTTCAGAGTGATTTGGATCACTTGGTAAGTTGGGAACAAGTAAAGAATCATACAGCTAAATCTGAATGTATGTATCTAGGAACAAAGAAGGATGGCCACAGTTATAGGATGAGGGACTCCATCCTGGGAAGCAGTGACTCTGAAAAAATGTTTTGGGGGTTGTGGATGGATAATCAGCTGAAAATTGCTAAAAGGCTTAATAACTTGGATACAGAAAAAGGAAAATCTTGAGTAGGAGTAGAGCGATTATTTTACCTCTGTATTTTGCACCTCCTGGTACCAGTACTGTTCAAAATATTCCCAAGTGATCAGGAAAAAAGGGTAAACAATGAGGGGGCAAATTTTGTAGGTGACACAAAATTACTCAAAGATAGTGAAGTCCAAAGCGGAGTGCAAAGAGTTACAAAGGAATCTCATAAATCTGGGTGACTGGGCAACAAAATGGCAGATGAAATTCAATGTTGATAAATGCAAATAATGCACTTTGGAAAACATAATCCCAACTATACATATAAAAAGATGGGGTCTACATTAGTTGTTACCACTCAAAAAAGTGACCTGGAGGTCATCGTGGAGAGTTCTCTGACAACATCTGCTCAATGCAGAGCGGCAGTAACAGACAAAATTAACAGAAAGGAGAGGGGTAGATAATAAGACACAAAATATCATGATGCCTCTTTATAAATCCATGGTACTCCCAGATCTTGAATACTGTGTGCCGATCTGGTTGCCCCATCTCAAAAAAGATATATTAGTATTGGAAAATTTACAGAGAATGGCAACTAAAACGATTAGGGGTATGGAACAGCTTCCATATGAGGGGAAATTAAAAAGACTGGACATTTTTAGCTTGTGTCCTCTTCCTCTGGCCTAACCCAATGAAAATACCCTTTGTTCTAGGGGATTCAAGTGTTTGGATTGAAGTGTTTGGGAACCTTCACTTGAGATAACAGGCTCTGTGCATATCCTTTTCCTTTGATGAAATGACAGACTTTCTATGAGCTTGTATTGCCCAGGAGCGTACTGATCAGTACAAGATGCACATTTCTGGGGGACGAGGCTGGCACTGGGAATTGGCTGGTGTTGCTCTGCAGGATAATTCAGGAGTGTCTTGCTGGAAGTTTTCCTCTAATTCAGCTGGGAGTGACTTTCCATGCTAGGGGCTGTGCATGAGCAGGGCCAGAAGTGGTTGCTTTGACAGCGGAGCAGTGTAGGAGGCACTGCAGGTTGGAGACCTGAGGGAATACGGATGTTGAGTGGTCCAGATTGTAACCTGGGGAATGTCACAGTGGATACTTTAAGGAAAGCACAGCTAAAATCTAGTTTAAAATCGTCTAATATTAATATCCTAAAAGACATTTGGGACACATTCTCATAAGGACCAGCCTGTCTGGAATGTCTAAGCTAAGCAATTGGTCATTAAGTCAGTATTGCCAAGTGCTGAGTCTCCACAAGAATGTCTGTGCCGAGTGTCACTGACAATCAGGCATTCTGACTGGAGGGACTTGTTTAAACCCTTCTCTTTCTAAAAGTACCAGCCACCCAACCCAGTGCTGAGCTGGTTTAACCCTGCTCAGCCAATCAGCATTTAGATACTGCCTAGTACATCAGTGTTTGGAATCAGAAAGAGTCAAAACCACAGCAGCAAAACCACCGCCCCACTCTTAGAAGTTGGTGGTGCAGACAGCTGCCTGCTTTCCATCCTGTACAGGGGTGGGGCTGGGAAGGACTCCCATGCTCAGTGCTACAGTTCGGAAGCCTGCAGCCAGGAAGCCGGCAGATCTCCTGAATTAACTCACTCTGCTCATTTCTTAGGAGCAGCCTTTGACGGGGCACAGGCACAGGAAGATAATTGGGTTGACTTGGCCTTGTCCCAGTGAATTGGAAATTCACCTAATGGGAAATGCCCGTCATGCTGCAATCACAGCCCTTGTTTACACTGATATGTGAATGAAAATGAAGACACTTTTTCTTTGTGCAGGATTCACCCAGGGCATCAATAACCCCTTTGCTTGTCGTCGTGCTCGAGGCATCTGCCGCGGTAGATGTCCCCCCAATTTCAGACGAATCGGAAGTTGTGGTTTTCGGCTGAGTTGCTGTAGGCGATGGGTAAGTTCAGGATGCCACAAGGGAGACATTACTGTGTAAACAGAATATTTGTGTCTCTAATTTCTATAGCTGTTGTTTAGTGACCTTGGAGGCTCAGAGCACATTGCACAACCCTGACATGGGACAAAGGAAAATTCTGTGCTGCCCTGATTCTGGACTATCTGGGGTTTCCATCTTAGAGTGAGAGTAATCGTATAGCTGCTTTACTCAGGCTGCCTATGGTCTGTCCACAACCCAGAGCAGCCCAGAGTCTCCACAGTGCTCAGTGCTACGTGTGAGCCATGTATTGCTCATGTATTGCAGTTACTCTCCAACACCCATTTTGAAGCCCCTCTGGCTTGCCAACATGGCATCATACAGACAACGTCTGTGGCCAGTCTGGCGTCCGTTTACATCATTGTTTCATTTAGGAATATGGAAAACAACGGGGAAGGACTAAAGTATATTTCCCAGGAGAGAGTATGGGGGATGCGTCTCCTTTGTATCATTGTGCAGCACTTATAAGATCAAAATGGCTGCTCTTTACAACAGTAATGCTTAATTTATCAAAAAGAAACATGTACAAGTTTGCAGCTATGTTCAACCGTGTGTGTGTCGTATCCCAGTATAAAATGATGAAATCTGTCACAGAAAAATTAGAATAACTAACAACACGGCTTCTGATTGACACTTA